ATGTAGATTTTGATGCCAAGCAGAGGGGCGGGGCTCTGGAGTGTAGTTCCAAGACTTGAACCCCGCATGTCCCGGGTGCGAAGCAGACGGGGCCTGTCACGTGGAAGGCCCCAGTGAGTGAGTGGCATGTTTGGCTCCTGCAAGTGCGTTCGTTCTCTGGAAACGACCTCTAAGCAGTGGGTCGCTTGTTTGAGCCTTGTTACGTGCTAATGTGACGTTTGTTTCTCGTGTGGTGTACAGGAACTGAATTTACTGACAGGTTAGCGTAGCGGTAACGCTCTAAGCTCGTATTCGGGAAATGCATGGCTCGAATTTCGGCTGTGCTGTCGGATGGTATTCCCTCAGTCGCTCCTGGATAATATCCAGGATTATCCTGGATAATATCCTGCCTGGATAATATCGCGAATAGACCAGGACAGTGTCGTCAAATAAATAAGCTGAAATTGCAGGGAAGTTACCTCGAGTCCTTTCATTCGGTTCCTCGGAGCTGAGCCCTTTTTGAGAAGCCGCCAGTCGCTCAGCTACTCAAGGATTTCCCAACTTTAATGGAGCACGAAGGTTAATTAGAGTATTCACAAGAGACCTCCACTGGCCCCTATCCTGAGCCATATAAATCCAGACCACATCAACCCATCCTGTCTCTAAGATCCATTTTCTTGGTCTTCCTACAGGTCTCTTTCCTTCTGGCTTTCTCATGGATAGTGCAGTAGGTACAGCGACTGGCAACGGGCCGGTCGACTGAGGGGTCGGAGTTCGAGTACCTGTAGGGGCAAGAATTTTCTCCGTGTCGTCCAGACCGGCTCTGAGGCACACCCAGCCTCCTATCTAATCGGTACAGGGGACTCTTTCCCCTGGGGTAAGGCGGCCGGGGCGAGAATCTGATTACTCGCCTCAAACCAGTGCGGAGGTTAAGAAAACGCGGATCTCTACATCCACTCCCCCATGCGTCTTCATAGCGTAGTGCTTAGCTACGAGTAGTTCAGCACAGGTACAACTCTTCCTTTTATATGTATATATATATACGGTATGAAGTTAGTTAGTTATTGGAGAGGGTGGGTTTCCCCATGCACTTAGACCTGTATTGGTCCATTGTGCTTCCCTCTATGATTTCTACCAGTCTCTATATCCTACCGGTACTGGTGCTTACCATCAGTCCCGCCCAGCCAGCGAGACCGGCTCTACTAGCTGAGAGGTATCTATAATGCCTCCCCCCTCTACGAGAGGTATTAGTGACTGCTGTTGGGCGGGAAACGTACGTAATTTTGGCTCAGTGACCTCCTTTGGAGATATGAGGTTCTTTTACGTGCCGTAAAGCTACGACACGGGACCCACGGCTTAAAGTCCCTCCCGGAGGACTTGTTCCCTGAATTTTTCCGCCCTTAAAAATTCCACGACCTCCGCCGGGTTTGAACCCGCGTACTACGAGTCATGAGGTGGGAACGTTACCTCTAGACTACGGAGGCCGCTACGGTATGAAGTTAGTAAGTACTGTGAGTTTTGCAGTTTTTCACTTCAGTTCATGTTACGGTTTCTTGGCTTGTGATACCGGAGTCAGGCGCCTTAGCAGCAGCAGCAGCAGCAGCAGCATTCACTTGTAAGAATGTGATCGTTTGCTTCATATGTGAGCGATGGTCCGTAACTGCAGAATCCTGGTCCGTAAGATACGATGCAGCAAAATACAACAACCTTTTGGGAAAAATGTAACATCCCTGAAGATGGAAGCAGTAAGTTCGTCCCCAAAGTTTGTAGCCACATACCTTCCAGACTACACGGTGTCACAAGCCGGATTAAAAAAAAACAACTTACCTAGATTTTGTTCTGCTGTTAAGGTGTATATTCTTCAGGGTGTTTATGAACTTCGTTGAATTTCAGATTCTCATTAGTAGTGACTGAAAATTACTATCGTCTGAGATGTGACGCCGTATAGTCCAGTAGTTCACTGACGTTATGGAAAAAGATATCGTCTTCATTTTCAGGGTTGAAGAGTAAGCCAAACAGACCGCCCAGCGTTTTGCAGATTTCTTGGCTTGGTCTACTCTTTGACCCTGAAGTTGGAGGCAGTAAGTTACTTCGAAACGTTAGTGAATTTCTGTAGGAGGGGTTTCTATATTTCATTGAGAAATCGCTTAAACGTGTTTCTCTGTCTTCCTGTAACAATAAGCTTGCCTTGTGCACACAGTTCCTAATTATACAATCCGTCACCTAGGTCCCTGGCAGGGCTCAGCAACTTCGCCGGGGCAGAGTCCAACACCGATGTTGCCGCCGGGGTGCTCAACTTCGGGTCCGAAGGTCTGGGACAAATGATGGCCGAGGCCTGCTTAGATAACCTCCGAAGTGAATTCCGAGGTGACGACTGGGGTAACAATGGTCCCGGGGTCATCACGAGAGTCCTCAAGAAACTGTGTAAAGCGCAGCAGGTAGGTAACCGTCAGTTTGATGTGACTTCCGGCTGTTGTAAGTGATCAGGATGGAATTCAGTACCGAGTCTGCATGTGCTTTAGCAATGAATACTCTACGCAGTGTATTTATGTGTTTCCCTGGTTGGTCTTTGTAATAGAGACGCCGTGTTTTCTGTGAGGTACGAACTGAATTTTTATATAGTATTTATAACCTCTGTGTACACTTTAAAGTAAAATCGACGGCACAGATAGGGAGTAACCTTAGCGTTTCTTGTATTTAAATGCCGGACAACTGGGTAGAAGTCAGTTTGCATCCGGAAGTTCCTGAGATCGACTAGTTCAATAAAGGGTTTCCATGGTTTTCCTCCGCCTTCGGGCTAATGCAGAGTTACCACCTAAATTCCACATAACACTGCAATCTTCACACACAGCCCTCACAGTGTTAATATGAAGTTCTGGCCTAACACAGCAAAGAGCCTGGTCGAATTCTGGCCTCTGATGCATAAACACAGAACATTCCACTTCCCACCGCTTTACCTTCTTCATATCACAACGCCTTTACCTACGTTTCAAACTACCTTTAGCAGACGAGCGATCTGGCACTGCCCGAGGACGTATAAGAAACGCTTCCCTCAACAATAAACACTATTATTGTGTCCCACTGTCCCCCTGTCCCCCTCCACCTTCAGTTCTCTCTCTTGTTCTTCGTCGGACTTCAAAGGATTGGCACGTAGGCGTATGTAAAAGAAAGTTAACGCTATTCCTGTGCCAGGGCGTGGAGACCCACAGGGTTGTGAGACGTCGAGGCTCCCACATTTTCTCTAGACAATCGGCTCACAGATGGCGGTGAGGTTTTGAGCCTTACGCGCCTTTACCCCCAGGAAGATTCATGGTACTCATTCTGTTAGACACTGAGTCGACCCCAGGGCCATAGTGTGGCTGGAAGGATTAGGTCAATTGAAAGTCCAATTACCTGATCAGGAATCGAAACCGCGACCTTCCGTCTTGTAGCATAGTGCCTCAACCGACTGCGCTACCGCGTGCCCCGACACGTGTGCGTATAGTGATTATCCTTGAATTCACTGTCTTTTGTCGTTACATCGGCTGCCCAGACGGTCTGCATCATCATGGCAGAACAGCCTTCAGTAGAAGACTGCCAGATTTGATCCAGTTCCCACTTACCCATATGTGCGGCAACCCCCGACCTGGAGGACCAGGTCCCTCTATTTATGTCGCCCAGTCGCGGGGCTACGGCGGAGGCATTCTAACCCGCCTCCACACGGGATACACATAACATGTGAAGTACTGTAAACGTACTGTGTGGGTGTCTCACCGGGTAGCTCTTCATAAGAACACGTTTGTTTGTTTGAGAACAGGGCGCTCAGGAGAAATGCTCATGTTAAGGGACGTAACGCGGCACGGACTGTTGCGTGTACTGCGCACCGAATATTATTATTTGGGCCGAAGAACTCAAGAAGAATGTGACAGACGGAACACGCAGCCCGCATGGAGGGGCGTGGATGATTTTAGTCGGAAAACCCCGAAAGGAAGGATAGGTTTGAAGACCGAGGTGTAGGTGATAGGATAATATTAAGCTGGATCTAAAACAGTGGTGTGAGAGTGCAAAATGGATTTAAGTGGCTTAGGATAAGATACAATAACGGGTTCTTATGAACACGGTAATGAAACCTTGGATTCCCTAGAAGGGGTTATTGACGGTCAGCTTCTGAACGAGGAAGCTCGACGCTCCTTTTGCATCAGTGTGACATGAACAGTACATACCGTTGAAGATTTCTGTGTTCTGTGGATGTGACGCCGTTTAGTCTTGTAGAAGTTCGCCAGCATTCTAGGGCAGTGTACTGCCGCCATGTCGCAGGGTCCAAGATGAAGGCAAGTATGCTAGGAGCCGTGCTTGCTTAGCTTACTCTTAAGACCTGAAGATTGAGGCAATAAATTCTGCCGAAACGTCGGTGCCTCATCATAGACGATAGTTGTGTTCACAATTACCTCTGTGAGAACCCCTGTCGCCGCCGCATGGCCACGGGGCCGTCAGGTGTGCCCCTCAGGTTAAGCCACGTAACCTTCGTAACCTTGCAGGCCTGTTGGTTGTCCTGAGTCGTGTTCCAGAGGTCCGGGTTTCGAATGTATCGTGCCAGTGACTTGTTACTCTGTCAGAGGTTTGCAGTAGCTGAGACTGTATGGCGTTGCATGGCAGGATTATTCATGACTAATGAATTGGAAAGGGTTCGGAAGGAAGCGGTCGTGGCCTAACTTGAGGTGCTATCCCTATGTTTGTCTTGAAGGGGCCGAGGGGGAAGTACGGGAAATTACACGAACTACACGTACACTGTGGGGAAAATGAGAAGTTTCTGTAATGCTAAAGCGGTGTTTTAAAGGATGAATAGAGTTATTCACCACATCCGTATGAGGCGCTGTGGTATTTCCGTTTTCTGATCTGGGTAGGGGCATGCACGTGAGACCGTTGTGTAATGCGCACAAGGACAAACGCACGAACACAACAGCTTTCACATCTTCGCTCGATAGGGCCTTTCTTTGCTAATTGCATTAGCGCGACTGGCTATTTTCGTCTGCGACATAAACATGCAACTTTCCTCTCTCTTGCTGCGGGCTGAATAGGGCACACGCGAAAGATATTACGAAATTCACTCCGTACTGTAGCCACAGCTGATAAGGCGATGTCTGAGTAATGCGGCAGAGTTTTTATGAGTTTCCACTACCCATTACTGATATTAATTTTAATTTCGTGGGCAGACTTATAGTTTCTTAATTTAATTGTCATTCCTCGCTTACAGTTTCAGCTACTGTGTACCCGATATTGACAAGGAAAGCAATCATCCCCGGACGAAGAACTGGTTCTCTTAGTCATTCGTATTAGTACTCGCTCCTGAGTCGTTCTAGAGAAACAGTTGCTCAGCTACGTGGGAAATAACCGGCAGGTTCATTACCGAATTCACAAGAGCCGCCACTATCCTGAGTCAAATGAATTCAGTGTCCGTACCGTCACAACATATTTAAGATCAGTTTTAATAATATCCTACCATTTGTGTCTGGTCTTCCTAGTGATTCATTCCTTCGAGTTTTGCCACCAAATATTGTGGGACTCACATTTCTGTCGCAAGAAGTATGCTTGCTACATGTTCTGTATATCTCATCCTCCTTGTAAGCCAGTATACATGAATATGCTAATTGTGTTAGCGCAGTGATACGTAACGAAATGATGAATGAAAGGGAACAATGTCCGTCCCAATTCGAACGAGCGTGCCCTTGAGCACGCTAATGTTTTTCGTCGCGAAAGGGGGGGGGAAGAGTACGAACATCTCAACAAGTTTATCTGCTTGCGTCATATGTCAAAGAGTCAGAGAAGTTCAACATTTTCCAGTGCCACGAGCTTTAATATCAAAGAAACTCTGCATTTGTTCCGTGTGGTTCTCACAATAAATAGCGACTGTTTCCCTAAACAGCATTAACCGGTTGGGCTCTGTAGCGGAGACGTAATGTTTCCTGTGAGGTACGGACTGAACATACTAAAACTCCGCATTCTGCCCTCAGAGTGTATCTGTGTGCTCCGTGTGGTTCTCACAATAAACAGCGACTGTTTCCCTAAACAGCATTAACCGGTTGGGCTCTGTAGCGGAGACGTAATGTTTCCTGTGAGGTACGGACTGAACATACTAAAACTCCGCATTCTGCCCTCAGAGTGTATCTGTGTGCTCCGTGTGGTTCTCACAATAAACAGCGACTGTTTCCCTAAACAGCATTAACCGGTTGGGCTCTGTAGCGGAGACGTAATGTTTCCTGTGAGGTACGGACTGAACATACTAAAACTCCGCATTCTGCCCTCAGAGTGTATCTGTGTGCTCCGTGTGGTTCTCACAATAAACAGCGACTGTTTCCCTAAACAGCATTAACCGGTTGGGCTCTGTAGCGGAGACGTAATGTTTCCTGTGAGGTACGGACTGAACATACTAAAACTCCGCATTCTGCCCTCAGAGTGTATCTGTGTGCTCCGTGTGGTTCTCACAATAAACAGCGACTGTTTCCCTAAACAGCATTAACCGGTTGGGCTCTGTAGCGGAGACGTAATGTTTCCTGTGAGGTACGGACTGAACATACTAAAACTCCGCATTCTGCCCTCAGAGTGTATCTGTGTGCTCCGTGTGGTTCTCACAATAAACAGCGACTGTTTCCCTAAACAGCATTAACCGGTTGGGCTCTGTAGCGGAGACGTAATGTTTCCTGTGAGGTACGGACTGAACATACTAAAACTCCGCATTCTGCCCTCAGAGTGTATCTGTGTGCTCCGTGTGGTTCTCACAATAAACAGCGACTGTTTCCCTAAACAGCATTAACCGGTTGGGCTCTGTAGCGGAGACGTAATGTTTCCTGTGAGGTACGGACTGAACATACTAAAACTCCGCATTCTGCCCTCAGAGTGTATCTGTGTGCTCCGTGTGGTTCTCACAATAAACAGCGACTGTTTCCCTAAACAGCATTAACCGGTTGGGCTCTGTAGCGGAGACGTAATGTTTCCTGTGAGGTACGGACTGAACATACTAAAACTCCGCATTCTGCCCTCAGAGTGTATCTGTGTGCTCCGTGTGGTTCTCACAATAAACAGCGACTGTTTCCCTAAACAGCATTAACCGGTTGGGCTCTGTAGCGGAGACGTAATGTTTCCTGTGAGGTACGGACTGAACATACTAAAACTCCGCATTCTGCCCTCAGAGTGTATCTGTGTGCTCCGTGTGGTTCTCACAATAAACAGCGACTGTTTCCCTAAACAGCATTAACCGGTTGGGCTCTGTAGCGGAGACGTAATGTTTCCTGTGAGGTACGGACTGAACATACTAAAACTCCGCATTCTGCCCTCAGAGTGTATCTGTGTGCTCCGTGTGGTTCTCACAATAAACAGCGACTGTTTTCCTAAACAGCATTGATGATTGGTCATCGAAATGTATAGATGAAGTGTGTTTTCTGTGCGGTAGAGACGGAATTTGTAATTTCGAATACAATGCTTCCAACGTAACCCTGGAAACTCACTATTATAATTCCATTACTGCCTTATATTCCGCTGCCTAGGACGTGTTATCCGTTGCCCAGCAGTGACTGTTGGAATATGCGTTTTGCAGCACGTTACAATATTTTTTAGATGTACTGTAAGGCTTCAAATATATAAGCCGCCGCATATATTCAGATGCCAGACGAGTGATATGTAGGACTGCTCAGACAATGCAGCTGCGCTGTCGACCGCACGCAGGTCGATTCCAGGACTGTCAATAACAAGGGGATTTCCCACGCAGTGGAACCAGATTCGCCGACTTCTCTTGGCAGCTAACGAAAGAAGTTCGGAGAAGTACCACATAGACAAGGCCCTGTGTCGCACCCGCTGCAAGTAGTTTAATTATTTCAGAATCCATAAGACTCAAGGAAAAGTGCGCTGAGCATAACATACGTGTTTCATGTCCCTTTGCAAGGTTTGTTCGAAATGTCTTTGGCTCGGATAAATATTCGGAGTTACCAATCGAGATGCGTATGGAAATACACGGAGGTTTCCGTACAGGTGTTCGTTATTGCCGTCGGAATTGAACCCAAACTGAAATAATTTGAAAATTTGTAACCTAACTGCGAATTACATTACCACTGATCTCGCGCATCTTGTACTTGAATTGTTCCTAAGGACTCATGAATGCATGTGAGGCCTTCAGATTTTACAGTTTCTATATGGGCGTGAACTTGGTCTGCACAGTAAACGGAGAACAGACTGAGTGAATGGGGGTGTGTGGGAACGGGAATAAGGGGGCAATATTCAGACCTAAGAGGGATGACGTAGGAGGCTGCAGAGAAATACACGAGGAGGCGCTTCATGACTTGTACTTCTCTGCAGATACCATGAAAATAAGGGGAGTGATGTGGGAAGGGCATGTAGCATGCAAGGGGGGGATATGAGTGCATGCATCGTATTTGTCGGAGAACCTGAAGGAAAGAGGCCACTAGGAAGACCTAGACCTAGAGAGGAGGATAATATTAAAATGGATCTTAGAGCAACAGGAAGGGGTGTGGATTAGATTCATTTGGCTGAGTACAGAGACCAGTGGGGGCACGCGATAGCGTAGTTGGTTGAGGCACTATGCTACAAGCCGGAAGGTCACAGGTTCAAGTCCCGATGTGGTCAATGGATTTTTTCAATTGCCCTAATCCTTCCAGTCGCACTATGGCCCAGGGGTCGACTGAGCCTCTAACCGAAATGAGTGCTGGGAATCTTCCTGGGGGATAAAGAGTGGCCGACACGTAAGGCTGGCAACCTCACCGCTTTCTTTTAGCCAGCTGTCTAGATAATGTGGGACCCTCAACGTCTCACAACCCTATGGGCCTTCACGGCCTGTTACAGGGATAACTTTGCTTGCTTTACAGAGACCAGTTGTAGGCTGTTGTGAACATGGCAATGCTTATGTGGGTTGCAAGGAATTCCTTGTGTGGCAGAGTATGTTGACTACCGAAGAAGAACTTGGGTTCGTGGAGTTTGTTAGTGGTTTTCCTCAGTTCCTCCAGAAAGATGTAGCTCAAATTATGCTTCCTTCCACAACCTCCCCATTTCACTAATCACTGTAAAATCCAAACTACTCATAGCATTGTTAAATAAATCTAATGATTTTGTGTACTCCACTAAGGACCTGTTCTGGATATCTGTTCATAACTGTCCACCTTGTTTCAGATCTCCCAACATGTCTTCTTCTTAGGTAATCTATATCCTTCATCCTTTCCATGTGTCCTCTCCACTGCCTTCTGTATTTCCCAGCACTGTGTTCTCTAAACAAGGCCTGCCAGATTGCCTTGGTGCCTAAAATTTTCATGATAAGATCTAGAATTTTCTTTGTGTTTTATTATTACTGGTGCATGCTCCGTCGATGATAGAGAAAATCATTTATTTTCTTTTCCTTTGTTCCTTGTGTACCCTTATCTTCTTTCCTTCATACTGCATCCCACCTGTTATCATTCCTTTCCCTCTTATCCACATTACAGTGTTTACCTTACCCCAATTCTGTTGTACTGCACTTCCTGTATCCTTATCACTTTTCCTCCTTTCTCCTGTATTCTCTTCACATCTCATTGTTCTCATTATTATTTTGTTAACTGAGTGGAGGACATATCATACTGAGGTATTTTGTTTTCTTGAAGTGGCTTGAGGATCTGTAGGATATTTGTGCAGGTAATCCTGTTACATGAACCAGGCAAACAATTTCTGTGTAGAAACACGCACACATGTGGCCAATGTGTCCAGGCTCTGTACTAATCTCATGGCAACTTTTGCTAGGTACGGGACATGACTGCAGAGAGGTGTCATGGGTTTACCGTTCATCCGCCAGCAGCCTTCTACCCGATACCATGGCGTCAGTGGAAACTTTACTTCGACGAAGGTACGAGTGCAAAAACGATGGCCCGGCTGAAGAACAGTCTGGCCATCCATGTGTGGAACAAGTTCAGTGCTGCCAGAAACATCACTGTTGGGTCGAGACAGCCATATGGACTCATTGCTCAAGAATTCTGCCCCAAAGTGTATTCACATTGTGGCCCTGTTTTTTGAGGAACTCTCTCATCGTGCTCATGTCACATTCATTGCACTGTTCAGCCCTTTATTAGGGCCTTACTTTATTTTGAATTATTGTTACAGGACAGACATGCCATTATGCTTCAGTTCATAGTGGAGTCAACTGATAAAAACACATGAGAGATACTTTTCTGTTGGCTGTGCTGTAGCTCAGGTGGATATTTGCAGTTTCTCACCATGAGGTCCCAGGTTCAAGCCTAGGTTAGTTAGTTTGCCATTTGTAGTGGACAGAGTGGCTCTGGGACATGTTTGTTTTGAGCGCTTCAGTGTAGCCTGTCAGTTATCATTCCAAGAAAGCTCAGTCTCACTTGTCATCCGGGGGTTGGTGCAGTGGGCCCATTTGAGGCCTCAGTATTTCTGACGATATTGAAGCTGTGATCTAGGGGTGTTGTTATTTTATTCTCTTAACTTTATTCGCTTTAATGTTCTACTTAAATGCTCCCAGGCTGATGGAAGGGGTGCCTGTATCCCTTTCTATGGAACAGAAGACAAGTTTTACTGATTTCTAAGAATTACAGCTTCATGGAAGTGACTGTTAAGATTATCATCTTCTTGGAAATGACACCATATCATGCCACAGATATTTACCAGCACCAGCAGTTTGGAGGAACCTACTGCTTCCATTTTCAGGTTAGAAGACAAACCTTATGATAGGAAGATGTGGTCCAACCAATGGGTTCTCTCTTCACTTCCCTCCTTCTCTTCCCTTCCCAATATTACTGACTTTTCTTCTTGCATGGCTTAATCTTCTACCCTGAAGATGGAAGCAGTAAGTGCCTTTGCAGTATCATTAAGTTTCTCTCAGATTACAGGGTGTGAAATCCTAGAACACACTGAACTCTATAGCTGTGTTTTACAAAGTCTATACATATATAGGAGTTGTAGTACATGATAGCATGAAATTTGAGGTTCATACAGGGCGAGGAATCTGTCTGCGGAAATGAACCTGATGCTATCTTATCTGAGAAGAATGTAATCTTAACAGTAGATAAGGGCCACAAAGTGAAGATAATTAATCAAAGAACATGTAAGCAGATTATCGTAACAGTGAGTGTTTGTTATAAAAGATTTGAAATGAGACACAGGAAAGATGTACAAAGATAAAAGTTGTGTTATCTTTTTAACTTGTTCACTTCCAAATTTTATTTATTAACTTTTTTGTGTCCGTCTGTCTGTCTGAATGTAACAACTAGAGAGCAACTAAATAATTTCCAATAAGTTTTATCTCAGGGCATTACCCTAAAATGTTATGAACTGAACTCCATGGTTTTATTCTGCAAGCAAACTATACCGACCGAGCGACCGCTTGCTTGTCAGCGAAGTTAGTGCCAACTTTTGCGGATAGAGGGTGTCGCGTGGTCAGCGCAACGAATCCCCACGGTCGTTAATTTAGGTTCTCTAGACCGGCGCTTCTATTTCATTGAAATAGCTACTTAGTTATCCTCCCGAGGCTGAGTGGACCCCTTCCAGACCCACTACCTCAGAAAATTTGGTAGCGCCAAGAATCGAATGCAGACCTCTGGATCTGTAGCCAGGAACTCTGACCACTAGACCACAGAGGCAGTCAGAAGTCATCACTAGGGAGATAAATTCTCTATATGGTAGCAACTTAAAAACCCAAATTTATTTTTGTCTTCAGGTGAAACCTACTCAGTTGAGCCCAATCAACAGAACTAGTCCCTTATGACGAATTATATTTTGGTAAAAGTCAGACAGCAATAGCCTACACTTTATATGAGGACCTACATGCATTTCTGTGGGAATCTTCAGTGTAACTTGCTAATTAGTTACTGCAGAAAAGAATGGTTTGAAGAAACAGAGCGCCAAATTTATGTCCAGTGCACTTCTTCCATGCAGTTTCTGAGGCAATTCAAGGGGAATGAATGTATTCAAATTGCTGCACATTGCACGCATTTCCTTAGGGTTTGAAATGTGATTAATATTTGCAGTTCACTACTGCTTTGCCTCATTGTTTCTTGTCAGGGTGATAAAACAAAATTTAAAACATGCGTTCCCATTGGCCTGTCATGAGAGTATAGACTACAATGCAGGGTGGATAATGACATGCATAATAACACAGAAGAAGCAAGCAATAAATATTAAGTGTAATTTTCTGTGAGTTGGAAGTATCACGGCATGTTTTATCAAATTGTAAGGTTGCTGTTGTTGGGACGTGTTGCAGTAACATGAAATGGTGATCTCAGAATAAGACAAAGAAGAAATATGTTTCACTAGCTGTAATTATAATAGTAAAAGTGGAATCAAAACCTGTTCTACCTGATGTGAATTGATATTAGCTAGTAATTAACAGCTGCTGACAAGTAGTTTCCCTTAATAGGACATTCCAAGCAAAGGAAAAGGAAAATTACACATCATTTTGGCTTGAAAAAGAACTTTTCTCTAGTGTTCACCATGGTCCCATGGATGCTTTAAAATTCACAGCATAAGTTGCTGAATAAACAGGAAGTTAGCTTAGCGTGCTTCTCATTCAAACCACACATCCATGAGAACCTGGCTTCTTTGGAAACTTGTAGTCACTCAGCTGGTCAGGAAATTCCTCACTTTCTATGGACGCAGAAGATTTATTATTGTGTTCACAAGGGCCTATCATTGGTCTCTGTCCTAAGCCAGTTGAATCAAATCCACATCTTCACGTTCTATTTCCTGAACATCCGTTTTAATATTATCCTCACATATATGCCTAGTTCTCACAAGTGATCTCTTCCCATAAGTTTTATTGGTTACAATTTTGTTTTCGTCCCCTGTCATGCCTGTTACATTCCCCACACATTTCATCCCGTTGAATTTGGCGAGGAGTGTGAGTGAATTGTGGAATATAACGTTCAAAATAATTTATTTCTGTAAGGTTCATGTCTTTGGTAAAATATTTTGAGTGATCTCACTGCCTACAGTTTAATGTTGGTATGTTTTCCTCATATATTTTGGTTGGTATCATCTAGAAAGCATAATGCTGAAAGCTCTTAAGCTGTTAACAGATATTTTTATAAAAATGGGGACTGTGGTGGTCACTGTAATCTTGCATGATGTGTTTCAGTGATGTAGAACCAATGTCACTCTTCAGAAAGGCGACCAATCCATTAGTGAGACTGTGTTCCTGAAAAAGGACACATGACATCTCTGTCTGTGATCTTCTTGTGTCACATTCCCTTAAATAGTGAAATGTTACATGCTGTCTATACGTAATTTAAGCTTTACCAGAGTTCTGTTGCATTTTGGACAACAGATGCGGAAGAAATGCCACTACAGACATATGTAAAGGTGCAGAGTATAATTTCCAAAGTGAATTGCGATAACATATGAATATTATTGCTATGTATGATTGCAAAACTGTTTATGATGCATAAATATGTATCTTATTTCATGTTAGAACGAAAATTTTATAAGTTTTAAATGCCTCCTCTTATAAGAAAAACTGTACTTGAACTTCTCTCTATCACTCTCACTTGCCCAGTGTTCCTTGTTTATTTTCCTTTTTTTTATAATATTCTGTGGTGCAGTTCACTCAAAGTGAAGTACACTAGTGATCTAGATATAATGATTTTATTAAAAATTTAGATAAAATTCTAGTTTTTTAATGTAAATTTTTGATTATTAATATTTATGCTCATCATTATTAGGTGTGTAAGGTAAAATATATTTGATTGGTAATCTGAAATGTTTAAAATATATTAAATGTGTTGTGTTATCCCTCAGATTAATTTGTTTAAAGTGGCTGTATGTAAGTTCATGAACTGACATGGCCTTCACATGTAGCACCCAGAGATCAAAGAGTATACCGCAAGGATACTGTCATTGTCAGGAACATTGATTGGGGTGCTGAGCACAATATAAAACGCACAAAATGATAATAAGGAGCTGTTTCGTGATAATCACTTTGGGTGAACTAGGTTATCTGTAACCCAAAAACAAATTTGACTCTGAGCTGTAAAAATAAGCATTATTTGAGGTTATGTTTATAAAAATATAAAGATTGATAATATAAACACTATTTAAAAAGTAATAATTACTGTATTTGTGTTAAAAACAGTTTTCTGTTCTGATTTGTGTAGGAGTTCCTAACAGACATCTCCTACTGTCCCGAAACTTCTTGTTTTTGTAAGCGGTGATGGTAGGTGGGTGTAAATGGAAAGCACAGCTGATATTACAGAGGTTGGTGTTTGAAAGTTGTAGAGGGAATGATGTGATATCAGAGAAGGCTGAGATGATTTGTGGTTGGTTTCTTGGTGTGCTGTGGAAATGACGAGTATGGGAAGTGTGGGTGTGGTTTCATGAATGAGCTAATGACTGTGTCTCGATGAGAACTTGAAGGTTGCACCTCGCACCTGGAAGCTGGTCTGTATACCACAAAGCGAGCTACAAGCGACAGTATTGCATTGTCCTGGCATTTGGAGTAGAGGAATTGTTGACGAGAGTTTGATTACTGCAGTATTCACCAGTTATCTTGACTGAGGTTTACTGTGGTTTTCCTTGACCCCACTAGGCAAATGACAAGATATTACCCCAATCAGGTAATGACTGCTTCCTTTCAGATCCTTTCCAATTCGTTGTTCACCAGTCAGACTGTCATTTGGTACTGTGTGGTCTGAGATGATATTATTAAAGAAGTTACAGAAGGAAATATGCCAATTTGTTAGCCTTGGTAACTGCCTAGCCCTTCTTGATTAGGAGACAGAATATTCATCTAAAACTTTTATATGCGCCTACAAGACTTCACGGTGTCGTTCATTACCCAGAAGATGCAGGCTGAACATCAACATATTCGTTGACACTTCTGATGACATTCATGATAACGGTTTGCTGTATGATGCTGTTTCTAACTTTGTCTCTTTCTGAGTGGACCGTAATGAAGTCTTCTCTGTACTTGTGTTCCGTGCCAGGCTGTCTGTAGCTTTAGAATTCACAAAGAACTGCATACAGTGGAGCAGTCAGGGCAGGAGCCTAATACTGTATGCTTATTGAAGCACTTTGAAGTGACTGATCGTCATAACCGTATGTGCATGCAGCACAGGCCTTCCTGAGAAGCTGGCAGTTGGCCAGCCACACACAAAAATTGGTTGTTTAACAGTTTAAATTACAGTGGTAACTATACGTACCGCCTGCTTTACATTCATTTAGCCCACACACTATGTATGTATTTCGAATACGATGGAATATTTACCTACACAGCATTTAACACTTGATCTTGGTAATACAGATGCAGTCTATTTTCTGTGAACTACGAACTGAATATTTAGGCGCGTTCGCAACCCAACGGAGTGTATTAATTTCGCTTTGCGCACCCCCCTCTCCCGTCTGTATGCATGAAGGAATTGCAGAACCCCGAAACCTATCATCGTTACAAAAGCTTTAATGAAATGACATGATACAACTTCGGTTTAAGTCGGACGGAACTAATGGACGCGTTTGTGGGCGTATTTCGAACGGAACTCGCAAAATATTTATCGGAGCGAAAAGAAATGTTTGGAATTTGTAGAGAAAACTGACTCGCCTATTTTATGTTTAGAACATGTCTCCCTCGTGAGTTTCGAACCTGTGGACCTGAATTAAAAATCAATAATGGCCCCCTGAACGCAAGCAGAAGTCACCGAAGGGTTAAATTCTCGATAACTACACTCGGGAGATTCTAAAGGGCTCTGACGTTGGTGGATGACACACAGAATTACTGGGGTTTTGCACTTTTTCCATCGTCCGGAATTCTTGGTAATACAGGACACTCTAGGTAATAGAGGACATGACGTTTCGGAAACTGGATCTGTTTCCGTCTTCAGGTGAGAAAGGAAGACACCTACTCAGTTGGGCCCCCTCGTCCAGTGATTGAGATTAGCTCTTTCTAAGGGGCCCAACTGAGTAGGTGTTTTCCTTTCTCATCTGAAGGCGGAAGCAGATGCAATTTCCGAAACGTCGTGTCTTCTATTACCTAGAATTCCGGACGATGAAAAAAGTCCAAACCCCCAGTACGTAATTCTGTGAATTACACTTAGCTTCCAACTTTAATTTTCAAGTTTTTTTTTTCGGTGGCGCTACAGCCCCAATTTGGGCCTAGGCCTACCTCCATGAAACTCTCGGTTTCACTTCGGTTTACTAGATCTTACACATTCGGTAGGACTCCTTGGGCGAGTGATCAGCTCGTCGCAAGGCCTCTACCTGTAGACAAACAGAAAAACGCACACAAACATCCATGCCCTGAGTGGGATTCGAACCCACGATCCCGGCTTCCGAGCGCGCGAAGACAGTGCATGCCTTAGACCGCTCGGCTAATTTTCAAGTATAGACGTATATAAATATACAGAATGTCGCAGGAGGAAAGGTCAGTATTCTGGGAGGTCATGCTATCGGTCATTCCAAGCAAAACCGTGTTTGTGCATGTGTCCCATTCCGAACGGTTTCGAGGCAGAGCTATGGATGTTATGGCCCGCACTCAGACGAGCAACACGCCATGTCCTCGCACGAGTTGCAAAGTGCATTGTTGAATGACATTTATATATTACGAGCTGTGGAAAGGAAGTTATTTTAGTGGACAGAGAGAGGGTTAGCAAATTGCAAGCGAGAAGTAATATTACATTTGACGGAACGGAATTTCAAAATAGAGACTCACCATAAATGTTGCAGCGATAAGTTGTTAATTACTCTGAAATTATAAAGTCGTGTTGCAGTCTGCAAATCACAGAGCAACTGAACCGGCTCGTTTATGGATTCTTTGCTTCTTCTTGAAGTTACTTCAGCTGAGGAATCGGAGGGCATGAATAAGAAGGGCCAGACATCAGTTATTTTGTCTAGAGGCGTCTCCCTTGCTTTGCTTTTCTACAGCCTCATAAAGAGACGCCTCTTCGTCACGACGCAGTATGCGCAGACGCCTTTATTGATCGCGCCTCAATTTAATTTAATGCAGAATTCTGTAAGATTTTGCAGCCCACAACAAAAGGCCGACGTGTTAGCGGCGGTAACCACGTGATGTCTAAATCACAGTCACTTTACGATTGGCGGTTTCCCGCCACTTAATTCGTTCTGGCGCCAAGCCCCTTGAGACTCACAGCCACAATTGTTTTCAATTGAACGCTTGCGGTCATGGTCCTTATGTAACATCCTGTCTGATGACTGGACGGGTCTGCCGTTTACAGTTGCTGCTGACCTCGCCAGCGCAGTCATGTCCTTATGTAACATCCTGTCTGATGACTGGACGGGTCTGCCGTTTACAGTTGCTGCTGGCTCTCGCCAGCGCAGTCATGTCCTTATGTAACATCCTGTCTGATGACTGGACGGGTCTGCCGTTTACAGTTGCTGCTGACCTCGCCAGCGCAGTCATTTTCAGGTCAGAGCCCGCGGGACTCATGACCATATTTTATGGTCTCAGATTCGAGACTCCCCTAACCTGGAGCTCCAGGACCCCGTATTTATATCCCAGTTATACCCCCAGGCACCGGGTTACCTTTTCATCGCCTCCTACTACTCCCAGGGCTACAGTGGGAGTATTCGAACCCGCCTCCACACGGGATATGACGCCGTAAGTTCATATAACCAGTATTTAGAAATGCAGTTCCTACCTCACAGAAAACACTTCGTCTTTATTACAAAGACTAGTCGGGGCTCCAGCTTCAGGGTACAAGAAGCGGGTTCCGAAAACAGCGAAATGTAAGGATAAAGGTGTTGGAGTGGGCAGTGTACCACACAGAATTGTGGTGGTTCATTTGATTACCACATATTCAGCCACTTTAACAAGGCTGTCATAAGTGTGATGTAATTAAAACAAATGTCAGCCCGCGTACTTATGTCAGTTTTGCACCGAAGAAATTCCTATGACCCAACGAACACAGGGAAATGCTAATCCCTGTGTTCATACTTGCAGGCTGCCTGCTCGCCTCCACGCACAGCGCACATACGAGTACGTGCTTCGGCCAAGGTTTTGCACTGAATGGAGGAAGGTGCACGTGGCTTCCTGAGCTGCAATAAATGCTGTTAGAGCTGTCCAGTCAGTATAGCGAGTAGACTACTGGCCGGACGACTTTGAAGTCGGGCTTCAGTCGCCTCCATACCATCCTGATTGTCTCCTGTCTGATGGGTACCATGTGCTCTTTCTCTGAGGATAAAGCTGCCGGGGCGTGAAGCTGACCACCACCTCCATCTGGTGCTGAAGTAAAAAATACACGAAACTACTCCCCCATACGTCCTGAAGGCTTGGTGCTTAATTGATCACAGGGACAAATGTACTGTTTACCTCTGCCGGAGTGAAATAGACTGTTTGGAAGGCATAGATATTGATGGTGGAGCTGAAAGGTGGAGGAGCGGAGGCATAGCTCCATGTATTCTTGACCTCGGCACTAGATGGAGGCGAGTGGCCATCTTAACGATGGGAAGTCAAGTGTATTCGCTGTGTTATCTGCCTCACCTTCATAAATTTGCCCGGGCAAAGAGACCTGTCGGATAGGAGGCTGGGTGGAAGCTCATTGTTCCTGTCGGGACCAAACCCGGGTCGTCCAGTCCGTGACTTAATCATGACACTTCGGACTGGATTCATCTCGCTCGGGACAGTCCAGTGGCGAGCTCTGGTGAAGGCGGTACTGAAGCTTCGGGCTTCATAAAGGGCAGGGAACTTCTTGACGTGCTGAACGATTAGTAGTTTTTCAAGTAGCGTTGTCAGATAATCTAGGCGCGCACCGTTTTGTGAGGGACGGCTGTAGAACAAACAAGCAGAAAAGCAATTCGAAGTCAAAGTGGGAAAAACAATGACGTCACAGTCAGGTTCCTTATATAGACTTGAGCTCAGACATTTGGGTGTGAGACAGTATCAATATGTGAAGATTGCAATCCTCTGGGATGTGATGCCGTGTAATTTGGTAGATGGTTTCCAGTTCTACGGAATAACGCGCGGCCTCCATCGTCAGGGTGGAAGAATAAACCTCGTAGGAAAAATCGATGGGTGATATCACTGAATTCCCCTTCCCGTGCAGCTCACTTTCCTACTCTGAAGATGGAAGCAACACATGCTACTCACGTCACATTCGCAAAAGAATGTTCGCAGTGCTGTCAGGATTATTTTGAAGGGGTTGGGGGCAGCGGATTGTGCTCGGGAGAGCGGAGGTTGTCAGAAAATTAGTTTACAGATTTAACGTTTAATCGGTTTACAGTTATTTTTGGAGATCGCCCTGGAATTGTGAGTTTCTATGTTGAATCATAGATGTCACCACAAGCCGTGTTTCTTGGCCCGATTTTGATCTTTTCCAAAAATCCAGTGGGGGCCCAAGCCACCGCTGTGAGAACCACAAATCACGTGATTTGTGGTTGGCGTCATTGCCTTGTAAGCACGTGGTTAGTCATGGCGGGCTCAAGCAGAAACATTTGCACGTGCATGTGCTACGTGACTGACGCATTCATTTCAAAACCGTGGAGTTAATTTATGCATATGCATTAAGTGGATAAAATCAGGTAATGTGTCGAGGGATTGGATACCAGTGGCACGGGGTGACTGTCATGCGTGCCCTCCCGTGTGGTGTGTGGCATGAGGACACAGCCACCGTTGTCCCGGGATTCAGCGCGGATGTGCTGCCGATTTTCCTATTGTTTTCTCCGTCTGGGGTGATGGGCTGGACATACAGCAGCACACCCAGTGTGAACCAAGAAATGTATACAATGTTTCGGTTCCAAGCATAAAGGGAGAAAACCCCACAGAACTGTGTATGGGTGGGAGGATAATATTAAAATGGATCCTTCAGAGTGGCGGTGCAGAATGAACTGAGTAGATGGTGAGCTTCTCTGACAAATGCCGCGAATTGTCGGGTTCCACAAAATTGTGGAACTTCTTGAGTAGGATGCCAGCAGCTCTTCACAGATGAGTTCGTGAAGTAACGCGCTGTCTGTAAATTGACTCGAGCACCTGCCTGCAGCTCCGTGGAACCTGGTTCTCCTTGAGAGACTAATCAGTTTGCTTTGGCTGCCAAATAAATGCCACGCCTCTTCTGGAACCCAGAGGTTCACTGTTCGCAAGAACGCTATCCTGAGCCAGATTAATTAGTCGACAACCTCACACCTAGACAGTAGATTTTGTACACATCTTTACCTTTACCCATGCTTGCTACATGTCCTGCCAATTTCGATGTACCTGGTTTGGTGAAGCTTGCCATTACACGACTTCCTCCACCCCTTACATGTCCTCCCTTAGGCCGGAATATCCACGTAGCACCCTCAGCGTACATAAATTGCGAGCTTCGCACGACTGTGATTGTGAAGATTGTGAAGATTGTGGACTTCTGCCCAGTGACACCGTGCAGTCTTGCAGCTAGATACTAACTCCCTTTCTTTGGAGCTCATGCCCCCCTTCCTGGAAACTTGACTATGTAACCGAAACTATTTCTGAAACTATAAATTTTACCCCGAAGATGGAGGCAGCATATTCCTCCGAATTGTCTGTAAGCACCCCCTAGACTGCACGGTGTCACAACCCAGAAGAGCACAATCTTAGTTTCAGTCTATGTTGTTTTTTAGGGCGAGAGACCAAGTTTCACACCCATACGTGGCAATAGGTGCTTTGCCATTTGGTTTATTTAGATAGAGGGGAAGGCAGAGCGCTCTGACGGCAACAGCGTCTACACTGGCTCTAGTGCCCACACGGTGGGTACTGGGGCTGTTCCCCGCGAGTAAAGCGGTTGGGGGCGTGAAACTGCCACTCACCTCCATTTAGAGCCGAAGTTAAGAATGGTGGAGCTATACCTCCACTCCCCAATAGGCCTTCCTGTCACGATGCTTAATTAATTGAGGCCAGGGATAACTGTACCTTTACGGTATCAAGATCAGCGGAATGTTTCCTATTTGCCTTGTGCCGGTGAAGTGAAATGTAACCGCAGGTTCTGTCCGGCCTTAGCACGGTTCCAGTTGGGTGAGCGAATTCCTGGTGATCAATACAGCAGCCAGGCCAGCACAGCGCTTTCCGTTTCGCAAGGCGACCGCGGCCCGATATTGAGCAGTTGGTGCGGACTATTATGTATAATGGATTTGAGAAATTACAGTTGTGGCCCCAGTATCAGAGAGTGGCCTTCAGTTCTGAGCCTTCGAAGAATACTGGTAAATTTTATTTTTGCGCGTTCGTAACGAAAAGTTGCAAAAATATTCCCCTTTATCTTCGTCGTGTCTGTCTGTCCGCACGTAATAACTGGTCTACTGTTATTCATGGACTTGGGTGTTAGGAAGAAAGTTGTCTTCCGGGATCTGGCGCCGTGTATTCTTGGTTTTAACCGACGTTTCGGAGGAACATATCGCTTCCATCTTCAGGGTAGTTGAGTTGCGTGCGAATACAGATAGCTAGCTGCAGCTGCAGCGCCAGATACACGGCGCCAGATCCCAGAAGACGACTTTCTTCATAGTCATCGCCGTGAAAACCTCAAAACTTACATAGGTGTTAGGAAGTTGGACTAATTTTGTTTGAATATTCTAATGTCAGTTGGACTCAGACAAAAATAACGAGCATCTTACATGAAGGTAATTAGCACTGCAGTTACTTTTCGTCAAATGTCACTAAACACAGGCCACACCTAATTAAAACACAACAAATTAAAGTTACAGACGCCAAGTGGATCTCATGAAATTCACTAATATTTCGATGATTCCTCATAATTTAAGTTTTATGCTGTTTGCATTAGTAATCTGCTGCCGTGCTGCCATCATGCCTGTCGCTTTTATTGACGTTTCAACTGCGCCTCTCTTAAATTATTAAAAATTTGTTGGGGAGGGGGACATGCGCCTTATGCACGCTCCAATAAAGAGGCATGTAGCTAATTGGAGCGCCTGCTTGAATTCTAGTAGAAAACACGCAACACTGAAGTGAGTAATGGGTTGCCTACGTTGCACGGACGGCTTGCTGTTACACACGTCTCGATGGCTCTCGTGTGACATTTTGGATCTCCTAAGGGTGGTATTAATTTCACCGCGTTTCGTCCATGATTGGTTACAGAATCAGGAGCCAACTCTGAAAACGCTCAGGCCCAGTGGGCCTAGGCCTACCTCCATGAACTTCTCCGTTCACTTCGGTTTTTCTAGATCTTACACATTCGGTAGGACTCCATGGACGGGTGATCATCTCGTCGCAAGGCCTCTACCTGTACACAAACACAGAAAAACGCACACACAGAAACTAAACATCCATGCCCTGAGTGGGATTCGAACCCAAGATCCAGGTTTCCAAGCGATCGAAGACAGTACATGCCTTAGACCGCTCGGATACCGTGACCGGCGCTCAGCCACATTGCCAAGTGGAATATCCCATGACTCGTGCCTTCCATTGTGGGATAAAACCGTGGAACGTGTGTTAACATATTTCCTAATATTGGATGTATATTATTATATTTAAGCATCCTGTTGCACTCTATACGATAAATGATATAATGATACAAACTCCGTCCCAAGTGCAAACAATATATTATGTGTCCTTGATCTTGTTCACCTACACTACATGTTTCGGCCTCAGACGGCCATCATCAGGTGTATAACACTCACGTTGCTGTCACACTGCACCCAGCCCAAAATTTAACATTTAAAAACACTTTCCTTGTTATTATCAACATCTACTTCGTTGATATCTGTCTGGTTTGTAGATTATTTTACACACGTTAATTTTGACTTTCCTGTAGTAGCACTATAAAATCTTTAGTTCTAATTTTAAAATCCTTTAAAATTTTTTCTCTAAATTTTAAAATTTAAAATTGTTAGGGTTACTCGCCCTATGTCTAAAGTGCTGCAGTGGCTAGTTCTTGTTTCCACACTGTATAGGCGTTATCCTGTGTAGTCTTCCTGTGTGCGTGCCGCTGCTATTCTTTACTACGTGTGGATGTATAGATCTTAGTGAACGACGGGCTACGGGCTGGTCGGTCGGGGTTCGAATCCCGGCAGGAACAAAATGTTTCTTTCTCTCCTCCACAACGTCCAGACCGGCTATGGGTCCTACCCGGTCTCTTTTCCGATGT